ATATATATATGTATATATATATATATACATATATATATATACATATATATATATATATATATATATATATATATATTAAAAAACCAATTTTAATCTGCCAGACAATCCGATTAAACGAGGAAGTGGGATGAACGGTTTTGAAAAGGTGTAAATAGAATGCATATATGGGTGTGAACGAAGCAACAGCTGACACACAATACTTGTGTAGATTAGTTTAAACAACCTAACAAACTTACACACCGACCATTAAAGGCAGAGCTTTGGAAGTTTGAATTAGTCTTAACTTTCCAACGGCAATGCTACGTTGTCAACCGTGGACCATACTAGCAAAGGAGGCACATTTATTGAGCTCACGGTGGTAGACTTGACTTCCATGTCTGCCTTTGGAAGATGATTACAAAGTCAGTGATATACAACAAACATTAGCCCATTAAGTGAGACTTCTTTTTCTTCTGCCACTGCATCGTCAACCCGAAGACCAAAGTTAGAGAACGGGAAGCAGCTCCATACTCATCTATAAATACTTCCACCATCTCTTGCTCCTTCATCACCATCAGTCTTGAACATACTCGCCATATAAACCTCCGTACGTGTCTTCCTTTGCATTAATCTCCTGTAGTTATACCATGGCAGCGCAGACCATCGAGAACTATAAGGTGGGAGCCGAGGTCTATCATGGAGATCACGCCCTCTGCAGCAAGAAATCCGTGCAGCTGCTCCAAGAGCTGGGCCTTCCTAAGGGATTGCTGCCGCTGGAGGGCATCGAGGAGTTCGGCTATAACCGTGCAGCTGGATTCATGTGGCTGCTCCAGAAGAAGAAGAAAGAACACACGTTCAAGAAAATCAAGCAGCACGTTTCGTATGCCACCGAGGTGACGGCCTTTGTGGAGGAGCGCAAGATGAAGAAGATAACCGGCGTGAAGACCAAAGAGCTGCTCCTCTGGCTCTCTGTCGTCGAAGTATTCATTGATGACCCCTCCTCCGGGAAGGTCACCTTCAAGACGGGCACTGGTCTCTCTGACAGCTTCCCCGGATCTGCGTTCGAGCTGGAGGAGTAGAAGAAGAGCAGATATTTTAGCAAAACTATATATATTTCTCAGTTATCTTCCTTTTATGTGTACACTACTAAATATTCATGTCCTGCAACGTTGTTTTGTGAACGCAGCTGATGTTTCTGTTACTTGAGTTCACATCAATAATGGAATCATAAGTTATATATTTTTTTTATCTTAAAACACTGTTAGTCTTACACAGACTACTCTACCTCCTATTACACAGTCTATAGTTGATTTTTGAAATTTATGATTGGAAAAGAATCAACAATCGAAGAAAAAAAAATCCATATGGTGGACCTTAAATAATAAAGTTTTTATTGTAAGGTTTTGCTTACAATCAGGAATCAGATTATTAATTAAAAAATAAAATTAAATATAATTTTTTACTAATCTTAATAACAATAAAAGATCTATATAATCATTTTCAAGTCGTCATTGTTGTTTATATATTAAAGAATAAGAATAAGTCAATTGACCTGATTGAAATTTATATAACTTACATCAATCGAGTTACATAAATTGATCTTGTAATATAACAAAAAAAATATTTAAATACCCTTAGCTTAACTTTTTTATTATTTGCTTATGAGAGTATTTACATCAATCACCAAAATTGGTGCTAACGCAAGAAATAGGTTAAAAGCACCAATCTAACTTAGTGCAATTATAACCAATGTTTATGTTTATAATGTTGGTTGATATTGTCATTTTTATCTATTTTATATAATTTTTAAATTAATTTTAATATTTTTAAATTTATATTTATTATAATTTTAAATTATTTAATATATTTAACAAAATTTTAATTAAAAATATGATATGACCAATTGACCTATGTGTTGGACAAGTGACCAAAGGTTTTTTGATTGGGTCATTTAGTCCCACAAGTTAAACTAACAAAAATCGAAATTAATTTATAAATATCTAATAATTATATTATTATAAATTTGAGCTTAAATATTTTAAATTAATAAATTAAGTTTAATGATATTAATAAAAAATCTAATTCTAATGGACAAGAAAGAATCTCAAATCACTTAAGCATCAACAATGGTCTTCCTAATGAGTGCTTGTTTTTCTATCTTTTTTTATGTGATGGTAAAAAGTTATTGTTAGGATCAAGTCGGTACTAAGAGGGGGGGTGAATTAGTGCTTTTGGAAAACTACGTTGATCATAAAAATTCATACGATACAACCGTATAGGAAAGACGTTTAAGCTTAAAGATGTTCATCGAAGAGTGATGAAGATGTAAAGTAATTGCAAAGTAAATAGTAAAGAAGATAATGTACACCAATTTTATAGTGGTTCGGTCATCGTAACCTATGTCTACTCCCGATTCCTCCTCTGTTGAGGCTACCGGCGTCCACTAACAATCTTCCTTCAATGGGCGAAGACTAACTACCCTCTTACAACTCTTTCACCTTTCACAGGTTTAGGAGACTATTGAAACTTGGATTTTGATGATAAAATCAATTGATAAATTATTGATCTAATCCATATATTGAGATAAGTGTTGTAGGATTAACTACGATAATGAATAAGACATAAAGTAGATATTAGGCCGAAGTCAAAGATCGAACGATATAATGAAGATTCGGACGAAGTGCCGGAACCTCGCCGAGAGTTTACCGGAAGCTCACCAAAAGTTCATCGAGACCTCGCCAAGAGCTCGTCGAGAGTTTACTAAGAGTTCATCAAGAGCTCACCAAGATTTTGTTGGGAGTTCGCCAAGAGTTCGTTGGGAATTCACCAAAAGTATGCTCATTCAACCACTTGGAGGCACGTCAAACGGTAGCATTACTCAAATTAGGCGGTGGAACGACTTGAGGTTTGGCCTCCTAGGTAGTCTAGGTGGTGGTACTACCGGCAATTAATGCTGTCAAGCTATAGTACCGCCCTATTAGGCGATGGTACTGCCAAAGCTTAATCTTCGAGGCTCTATTAGGTGATGGCACCACCCAGCATCAGTCTACAGGCAGTGGTACTGCTAGTACCCTGGAAATTCGAGATGAGATACTTTTTAGCTCCATTTTTGAAGCCATTGGGGCCTATAAAACCACACTCTTTCCTACATAAAAGTGTAATGAAAGTGTGAACAAAAGTCTTATTAAAGTGTTGAAAAAGTGATGAGTGTCCTCCTCCTTCTTCTTTAGCTTTGATCATTCTAAGAGAGGTGTGAGGTTTGAAAATGTTGTCTCTGTTAATGTCAATCTGGCACTAAGAGGGGGGTGAATTAGTGCAGCAATAAAAATTATGTTGATTTGGAAAATTTCGTTCGATAAAATCGTTTCGACAAAGCCAGTATCGAAAAGTAATGAAGGTAATGACTAAAAGTAAATGTAAAGTGTAGAGTATAGCTAAGTAATGAAAGAAAGCAATAAGGAAAGAACACACCAGATTTATAGTGGTTCGATCATTGTGACCTATGTCCACTTCTGATTTCTCCTCCGTCGAGGTCACCAATGTCCACTAATGGTCTTCCTTCAATAGGCGAAGACCAACCACCTTCTTATAAAGCTTTCTCCTTTTCACGGGTTTTTCAGTCTTGTTTTGGGCCTAGTTGGCCCCTAATTGAGCTAGTAAGATTTCTCTTAAAATTAACTCAAATTAAAGTCCTAACTATGATAGTTAAAGCTAAAATAATTACAATACAAGCAATCTAAGTTATCAGACACATTAATTATTCAACCGAACTCTCAATGGACTTCCGGCAAACTCCTAGTGAACTTCTGGTAAGCTTTCGACGAACTCTCTATGAAGTTCCGATGAGCTTTCACTGCATCATCCGATCCTTTAGCGGATCCCCCGATTCATTTGGCCCGATGCTCGATCATTGACTGTAGCCCAACATTTGATTCTTCTTTAATTGTTTTATCTTTTTCATGATCGTAGTTAGTCCTGCATCACTTATCTCAATACATGGATTAGATTATTAATTTATCAATTAATTTCATCATCAAAATATGAGATTCAATAATCTCCCCTTTTTTTATGATGACAACCAATTAATGACGGAGTTAACCTTAACTCCCCCTATCTTTATGCCATATTGAGATAAGGAAAACTTGAATTCAAAAGGAATCATAACATTTGAATTCAAGTGAAATAATTTCGATCATAGTGATCAAATGCAATATATCATATTTCATACATTATGCATCATTATAGTTTCAAGTCATCAAAGTATAACATATACAATTTCATCACTTCATATATGATAACAAATCAACATCACTTTGGGCATAACCTACATGATACTAAAACATTCATTACTTCATGTATGA